TTCATCGTGGGACTCTACCCACCAATCAGACGGAGGTTAATAGGGTCCTGATGGCAGGGAACAGGCTACCTGCAGGCCCGTAGAGGCAGGGCCCTGGAGTCACATACCTGTCCTTAAAGGCCCAGCCTGGTGTGGCTGGCTAATAGTCCTTCAGTCTTGGCTCTGTGGGCAGGCAGCTGTGGCAGGGAACTGAGCCTTGCAGCTCATAGTGTGGGGCAGAAGTGGAGTGCCCTTGAAGCTCTGAGACCCTGAGCTGGCCATGCAGGGGAACAGTACTCTCTGTCTCTGCCCAGCCAAGGGACGGAAGCAAGAACAGAGACATTGTCGGGAGAAAGCCCCAGACTTAGGGGTGTCTGAGGCGAATGATCCTTTTAGGACTCTGACATACAACAGCCTTCGAAAGGGGTAATGGAGCACTGGAGAGAAATGATGGCAGCCGTCTTGCCATCAGTCCTATGGGCAGGCTCAGAACTTCTCTAATTCAGGCCCAAGGGATTTGAACACAGAAGGGCATGTGGCTCTAGTATTTTCTCATTCTGTAAGCTGGGATGAGGGCAGCAGACAGCCACAATTGAAGGTGTCTTTCCAGCTTTCCCTTGCCTGGTGCTCCCTTACCCTTCTTCAGGATGTCTGGCCAGCAACCTGGCTCTTTCTTGCAGGCGGACTGTTTGGGAGTTTGATTAGTGTCAGAAATGGCAAGCCCCTGGACTGGGCTGCTCCAGTGACATGTCTTCTGGGGCCTCAGCCTTCTTTCTTCCTGCCTGATCCTCTTGCTTCTCCACCACCAGGTGACACCTCCAAATTTCTCAATGTCACAAGTGCCCAACACTTCCAGCTGTCCCCAGGCCTATTCTGAACTGCAGACACTGTCCCCCAGTGAGCGGCAGTGTGTGGAGACAGTGGTCAACATGGGCTACTCATATGAGTGTGTCCTGAGAGCCATGAAGAGGAAAGGAGAGAATATTGAGCAGGTGAGTGATTGGTTGGCTGGGGGGTGGGGCGGGGTGTCAGCCTGGAGAGAGGTCCTAGACCAGTGTCCTGCTTGTATCCTAGAGCCCCATCACACTCATAGGCCCAGCATCCTTTCTTGTGAGTTCACGGGACTCGGGGTGTTTTGTTGGAAACAGCAGCCTTAGCAGCAGTGCTCCTACTTAGGGGGCTACTCTGGCACCCAGGCTGGAGGAAAGCCCTGGGAGTGTTAGAGCCAGGGACTCTAATACTGGGACTGTTCTCTGCCCCTCCTGAGAGGGCACACTAGGCTTGAGATACGGTCAGATGCCTCTTTCCAGAAATGTTTATCCTGTCATAGCTGCCCTGGGGTGTTCCAAAATAGGGTACTGGAGTCTTAAACCTTGGGATCATTTTCTGACTTGGGCTATTTGTTAGAATATCCTGTCGAGGCTGTGGAGTTGACATGGAGATGTGAGTCAGCTGTGACAGAAACGCCTTTGAAAAATTACTCATGTTTATAAGGGTGTGCCTACCTGTTCAGCAAATAGTCACTGAGGTCCTGCTATGTTGGATGCAGTTCATGATACAAAATCAAGTCCTAGCTCGGTGGGGAGCAGATACCACACCTGCTGGCTTGTGTAAGACTCTTGGGAAGCACCGACAAGAGTGCTAATAGGTGCTCACCTCTTTTTTTCTTAAGATTCTCGACTATCTCTTTGCACATGGACAGCTCTGTGAGAAGGGCTTCGACCCTCTTTTAGTGGAAGAGGCTCTGGAAATGCACCAGTGTTCAGAGGAAAAGGTAGGACCCTTCTGCTTCACGGGAACCCTCTGGAAAGGAGGGACAAAGTAGCGTCCTCTGGCCAAGAACCCCCTTTCCCTACCAGTGACTACAGGCAGAGGTAGTCAGAATGCATTTTCTCTCAAATGTCCAGATAGGCATTTGGCTAGTTTGGGTTGTTAGGTTTGACAGAGCATTGGGTTGAAGACTATCTAGAGTCCCAGGGAAGGGAAAGGGAAATGACCTGGGCAAAAAGCTAGACTTCTGGATGATTGGGGAGATTGCTAGTCACTTTGCCTAGCCTGCTCCCTGGAGAGCAGCTGTTCCTGGGTTCAGTATCCTACCTTGGTGTGAGTGTGGATTTTGGTTAGTGGGACCCATGAGTCAGCAGGATTTTGGAACTGGGCACAGTTCCTGAAGGATGATGGGTTGTAGCATCAGCCAGTCTGCCCTGGCTTCCTCCACAGCCACCACCCTCTGCTTGCTAGGGGACTTCAGAGAGAGACTCAAGGCTCTGGCAAAAGATGCAGACTTCCCCAAGCAGCCCCCTACATGCACATTCCTCCACTCTGCTGTGTGGCCAGACCCCTTTCTTCAATCTTCATTCTCTTCTATCCCTTAGATGATGGAGTTTCTTCAGTTAATGAGCAAATTTAAGGAAATGGGCTTTGAACTGAAAGACATTAAGGAGGTTCTACTACTTCACAACAATGACCAGGACAATGCTCTGGAAGACCTCATGGCTCGGGCAGGAGCCAGCTGAGACCAGGCACTGCCTAGACCCTGCCATGGAACCCCCCCCTGCAGGAGGCCCTGAGGAGCCCATGTGTGGGGAAGGAGAAGGGGCACACTTCCTGATTTTCTTTTGGGGGTGGAAGGTCAGGTGTGGAGACTGTGCTTGCCAGTCTCTGCGCTGGGGAGAAAGGAAAGATTCGGGCATGTGAATGCCTCCAGCACTGCCCTGGCTCCTTCAATATTAAATGTATTTGTATTTTGAGAAGTGTCCTTCCCACCTTGGCCCTCCGGGGTCTGTATGTCCTCAGCCGAAACCTGGCCCAGTTGCCAAAAGGAGTCAGGGAGAGGGGGTGGGAGGGCCAGACTCAGTGCTGCTTTAGGGCTAGATGCTTCCCTCCCCTGCACTGGTGGACTGAACTCTAATCCAAGTTGAGTGCAATGGAAAAGGTTCTTCCAGGGTTTTTTTTTTTTTCTCCTTTTAACAAAGTCTCTTAGTGTTACACTGGTTCTGCAACGTCTCTGAGGTGCAAAGAATGCCCTTTCCCCATGGGGTGCTGAGTTGGCCTTGTCTGCCAGGCAGTTATCATGCTTCCCTGCCCCAGCCTGTTTCTTTTGGCTTGGTTTGAACCACAGTCCTCTGCTACCCAGGATTTTAGAGCCCCCTGCTCAAGGAAACAGTTATCAGTTTAAGAAATCATTGGCCCCTTCCCAGCATATTGAGTGGGGGAGAAACAGGCTGCAATATAGCCCAGCACTAACTCCACCTCGGTTCTCCTTGGAGAACAGCCTCTCCCTCCAGCCCCCTGCTCTAGGATGACACAATGAGTTAAACACCTAGTCATAGAAATCAGTCTCTTTGTTTTATATTCTGTTGTACATCATTAAAGATCTAAATACAAAGGATATACAGTCTTGATGAATCTAAAGTAATTTGCTAACTATTTTGATTCTTCAGAAAACTACTAATTAATAAAAATCTAAAAGGTATGTCCTGCTGTGATAATTTCTTTATTGCCAAATGCTATTTTACTGAGGGGTTGGGATGGGTGGGGAAGGGATTCCTGCTTGGATTTGCTGGGGATGAAACAGGCACTAACCATTTTCTGTCTTTTTAGTACTCTCTTCCCACTATAGGCCTGTGGGACCCAGGAGCTGGCCCTGCAGTTGGCCCTGGCTTTATAAACCTGACCTAGCTCAGTCTCTGGAACCAAGGACATGCCTTCCTGCGAGACTGACTGTGGAGGTGAGATAGCCTGGGCCTTTGGGGCAATCAATCACTCAGAAATGAGGAAGTACCTTTTCCTGTGAGACACATCCGGCATTTATGGGCTGTGTGCCACAGGTGGGACTGGATTCAGACTGTTTCACCAGCTCTCAGTGGTGCTGCTGTAGCTGCAAGAACTAGATTCCGCCCTGAAGTTTCTTGTCCTTATACTTAATGCCATCCCACAGTCCCTCTAGTGCTCTTGGCTGGCAGTGGGTCTCATTCTTTTAGTGATATGGGGAGACGGCAGAACCTTTGGGCCACGAAGCTGGAAAGAGGCCGCCCTCTAGTGCTCAGATCAGGCAAAGGGTGGCAAGGCTGCAGTCTCAGAAAGCCAGTCAGCCCTTCTGCTACCATTTTAATTAAGCCCTCCTTTTGAAACCTTAAAAAGGTGTCCTTTTCCCTGTAAGAAATTGAAGTTTCCACACATTACAATAAACATCAGAGCCAAGGCTGTGACACGTGCATCTTATTTGACCCAGAGTGGCCCTAGGAAGTGGTGGACCACTTTGTATTTGTCTTGAGCTTCTTCCTGATGAAAAGATACACAGCAAGCAGAACTCATGTATGTATAAAAATTCTGCCTCAGTCTCAGACTGTTGACTAGAGCTCTCACTGCCAAGATACAACTGAACACAGGCCCCTGAGAGGGAGTGGACAGCCAGGGTGATGCTGGATAAAGGTAAGGTGAGGAGATCCTCCACTTCTTCAACTTTGCCATGAGTGGGCATGGCATGTGAGGAGTCCGGAACCTGGAACTGCTCCAGGAGCACGAGCGCTATTAAAAGAGTAATGCAGTGATGTGGGCACAGAATTCAGCTATCAAAGCCCCTGAGTTCAGCATGTTTTCTTCCCCAGCTTGTGATCTCTGACCTCTAGGTAACCGCTGGCCCACCCCATCCTCTGGTCCTCAAACTCAGAAACATCCACAAGGTTATTAAGACCCAAATGTGTTTTCACAGACAAGGGGTTGGTAAGACAAATTCTCTTCTAGCCCCACAGAAAAGGGAGGGGTATATTAAGTTTTGTAGGCTGCTCTGTCCTTCCCTACAGATGCTCCTGTGCTTGGAACTGAGGGACAGAGGCTTGGCCCTGAGAGAGGAGCTGGGGCCTAGTCAAGGCCATGTGTGGCTGGGGAGAGGCTAGCATGGGCAGGACTGGGGAGTGGGTTCTAGGATTTGTAAGGAGGACCTAGCAGAGGCCCCTTCAGCCCCCGGGAATTCAGCACAGGCTCCCGAGCTGTTCCATCACCTCATACTGGATCTTGTTCTAAGACACCACTGTCCTCTCAGGGGCTGTGGTCGGCCTGTGGCAGGCCAGGTACAGCTGAAGCTGGCTCCTCAGACTCTGGATGCACTTGGATTTCAGAGCCAGGATTTCATCCAACTGGGTCACAATATCTTCAAAATCCTGGAAAGGGAAACAAAGGACAACTGGAACTTTTGGTTTGGCTGGGCTTCTGTCAGGATCTGCTTTTCTAGTCCCTTTTCTTGCAGGAAGTTTTCAGAACCCAGGCCCTTCCTTCAGCTGGAAAGTCTGCAGGATAGTCACTGTGGCACAGGGTGAGGCTCATTTCTCTGCATTTGAGAAACTTTTTAAGATTTTATTTTTAAGTCATCTCTAAACCCACCGTGGAACTTGAACCCACAATGCCAAGATCAAACATCACACACTTCACCGACTGAGCCAGCCAGGCACCCCTGCACTTGAGAAAATTCTATGTAGAGAGGTATTCTGCAGGGCAGAGGGGTTTGTAAAAGTACCTCTGGTTGGGGGGGCGCCTGGGGGGCTCAGTTGGTGGAGTGTCCGACTCTTGATCTTGGCCTAGGTCTTGATCGCATGGTCCTGCGTTCAAGCCCCGTGTTGGGCTCCACATGGGGCGTGGAGCCTACTTAAAGTGCCTCTGGTCGGCATATGGGAGGGCCTCCAGCAAGCCAATAAGGCAGGATGGCAAAGGATAGAGGCAGGAAACATTTTAGCCTGGAAATGGGGAGTGCAGCACCACCTCCCACCTGTGTCCTTGCACCGCCTCGAGCTGTGTCAGAGGAATGGCAAGAGGCGGCCCAAGTGCTCTTAGAGTAGGACAGCAGACCCTTACCTCACATATAACCACAGCAAACTACCTGCAGGCTAATTCGCAACAGACCCTGAGTGTCTAAGCCAAGACCACTTACATTAAGAGCCAGCTGGCTCATCAGGGTCTCCTCCTTGAAGCCCAGTTCTGCCATTTTATCCAGCTGTTCCTGGTGTGCTCGGATGACCACCTGCCTGGGAACACCAGAGGGGACACTGTGATCCTTTGGGTCTCCCATCTCTCCCAGGCAGCTTTCTGGGGCTGAGCCTCATTTCCAGGCCAGGAATGGCCCCTTCCCAAATGGTCAAAGCTTTGACCAGGGCCAGCCCACCACCCCTCCTCCCCTGTCACCTGTTCTCAGGACTTGTCTAGGGACTAAAGTAGACCAAGAAGATACTGGGAAAGAGGGGCTTCTTGATCTGTCCCTGCCTCCCCAGCTACACTGAGGGACAGGGAGGAGTGCTGCTTCTCCCCTTGCAGGAGCTTCCCTGCCAAAAGGCTCAAGGCTGTGACCACTGCAGCGGGCACACTTGGCACAAGGTGGAGCCTGCTGCCTCACCGGCCATCATTTTTACTTCCCATGGGGAGTCCAGGTACCAAAGCAGGGTGTTTGAGCTAGAAACTGGAGGATCTGCCTTTTGTCGGATGCTGCCGACGGGTAGAGACCATGGAGACAGCAAGATCATCTCCTGGGACAGGCAGGCTCCTCACCTGCATGTCCTTCTCTTTGGCCATGGCCCTGGCCTGAGCCCCTGGGGGCAGCCCGCACACAGCTGGCCTAGACATTGGGAGCCCTAGCGAAGGGCTGTAGCGCCTATTCCCATACACCCACCCTCTCCCCGGGCCCCTAATGCTGAGGGGCCGTGCTGGATCTCTCTGCCTCCTTTCTTTCTCTATACTTTCTGTTGCCTCTCTTTCTGCTGCACCATCCACAGCATCCTTTGGGGAAAGCAGCACAAATCACCAGTCCCTCTGATTTTGATCTTCACCATCTTGGAAGTTGCCCAGCCTACCTTGGTTCTGAGGGCACGAGGCTGCAGCTGTTGTGTCCCTGGGCAGTACTTCCAGGAACACAGAGCCAACAGAATGAAGATTCTGATTTTACCACAGGTCACAGGCTTGCCAAAGGGGACAGATCCTCCCTTTTACTCAAGTCCCAGCTTTCCCAGACTCAGGGTTCACCCACCCTGGCAGGCCTGCTTCCCTTGAAAAGCGGGACAAAGCCTCTCCAGTTGTAGTATAGCTCTGATACTGAACCAACGATGGCCATTCCCAGAACAGACAGAGGTTTAAGCTGGGGTGGAAGGAGGGGTGCCAAAGGGGCTCAAGTCTTGGGGAGAGTGTCCAACTTACTGTGCAGGCCCCAGGGTGAGCTGATGCAGTGTCCCTGCAGTCTTTGGAGAGCAGCCAGGGACCAGGGGAGAGCCTGGTCTTGCTAAGCACCTTGGGATTGGCCTGTATTTGAGCCACACGATGTCCCTGTTGTAGCCAGGCAACTTGACGGGGTCTCTCGGCAAACTTAGCTCCTGCCAGCCAAGTCCTGTTGGATGTTTTCTTTCCTGGGCCCAAGGCTGGTCAGCCATATCACTACTTTTTGTTCGTGGGGTGATTAGAGGTGCAGGGTGGGGTGCTCCAGTATGTATGGTGGGGAAGGGCTTTCCTGGGAAACTGTGGGAGCTGCTCAGCTCTGCCTCCTCAGCATCTGCATCATACTGCTGGCTACTCACATGTTCCTGGGAGGAGAGTGCAGACTCTCTGCTCTGGCAGACCTCCCCTAGGTCAGCCTCATCGATGGGCAGCTTCTCAGGTGGGTGCTGATGGATGGGTGATGGGGACAGAACTGGAAGATCACCACTCGGCTTATTGTCAGGGGGAGATGATGAGAGCCACAAGTGCCCAGCTGCCAAAGACACTGGCAGTGCCTTTTGATCACCAGATGACGCTGTGTGGCCCACAGATGGGCCCCCTGCTGCCATCAGACCGTGAGCAAGCCCATCCTGGGCCGGCCGCTCCAGGGGAAGAGGGCCCTCATCATCTGCATTCTCCAGAAGGGACACAGTGAGGGGAGCCATCAGTCCAGAAGCGTATTCAGAGCATGTGCCTGATTCCCCTCTACAGTCTTCTTGGTAAGGGTAACTGTTTTTCATTGTTCTGGTCGCCAGAGTTGGGCTGTCTTGGCCGATTTCTCTCAGAGGTGTGCTGACTGTCTCTCTATGGTCTGGAGATCCTGGAACTGCCCCGGGGGATAGTGAGAAAATGAAACCATCTTCCTCCGGGGGGACTGAACTACCCTCTGCCTGCCCAAGAACCTCACTTTTGAAAGTGTTCTGTGTGAGTTCAAAGGCTGGGCTACCACCTATTTTCTGGCCATATACAACGTCTACCGGGGAGCAGTAAGGCTTCTCTGCGGGCTTGTCTCTGGGAGAAAGCCCCGAGGAGGTAGAATCCTCTTCTCTGCCCCAGTCCAAAGGCACCTTACCTGGGCCGTGGCCATGACTGAGTGCTGCTCCTCTGTAGTTTGTGGGGTCCCTGGAGCACGTCCAGTTTCCAGTTAGACCCTTCTCGGCACCATCTGTCCTGGGGTTAAAAAGCAGACTCTGCTGCCTTTCAGCCACCTGTTCCTCAGGGCCTTGCTCCCTCTGATGAAGGAAGAATGAGCCTTCGCTGTTCTCTAGGGTGTTTCTCTGCTTTGTGGTCCTCTGACTGGAGACGTGTGAAAAAGAATCTTCACTGAAATCGCTGTCATCAAGGTCCTCAGCTTGGGCTCCATCCTGGCTCTCGGAGTAAGAGCAGAAGTTGGGAGGGGTCTCATTCTGGAGCTGCCCCTCCAGGGGCCTGTACTGGTATAAGAACCTTTCCAGTGGTTGGTACTTGAACTTCTGCTGGAGGAGAGGTGGCTGCTGGAACTGCTGGTGATAGAAGCGCAAGTGTTCCTCCCTCTCCTTCTGATGTGGAGGGATGTCTGTCCACGTTTCTGAGGCGGGCCTGGCCGGTGCGCTCCCCTCGCTGTGCTGACCGTGTTCTGCTAAGTGGCGGCGGCCGCCAGAGGAGAGCTCAGCCCGTGACATCAGCTGCTGCTGCACGGGCCGCACAGGCTGCCCTGTCTTGGACTTGGAGGGCAGCTTTCCACTTGCTGGGGCTTCTCCAGGGCCAGCCGCCTTGCTTCCCCACCTGCGGGCAGTTTTGTTGCCCATTTGATTTTTCTCAGAGCACAAGGACGCAGACTCTTCCGCCCTTTTTTTGGCTAACTGTCCAGACCGCGTGGCTCCTTTGACAGGGCTGGTCTGAATGACCCATTCTTGGGGAAGACTCCCTCTGGATCCATGCCTTTTACCGGGAACTTTAGGTACAGGTGCAAAAGGGATGTTGGGTGGGTGGCTGGCCAGAGGATGGGCCTTCCCTCTCGTGGAGCTGGGAGCTGCCGTGAATGACTGCTGAAGCCCCAGCTTGACCTTTTTGGGAGAACACTTGTCCCCTGGCAGGGCCACAGGGGAGCTCTGAATTCGTTTTGGAGAAGAGTTTCCAGAGGTCTGATTTCGACTTGTAGCTGAAGCACAATATTTAACGCCTTTCTTTAGTTCTTTGACCCTGTAAATTACCATTTTATGTTAAATGTGTATTCTTGCATGCTCAATTCCTTTTCTATATTTTTCAAAAACCAAAGAAAAGTATTATAAAAAAGATGAGTGCAGTCTGAGAATATAAACATATACTAAACATTCTATGATCAGAAGTTTTGGGGGGCTCCTGGGTGGCTCAGTTGGTTAAGCGACTGCCTTTGGCTCAGGTCATAATCTCAGGGTCCTGGGATCAAGCCCCGCATTGGGCTCCCTGATCGGTGGGAAGCCTGCTTCTCCCTTTCCCACTCCCCCTGCTTGTGTTTCCTCTCTTGCTATCTCTGTGTCAAATAAATAAAATCTTTAAAAAAAAAAAAAAGTTTTGGAAATCACCTCAGTCCCATGGGATAGGCCAAGGAAGCTTCAAAAATATCTCCAGACATTGCCAAATGTCCCCTGGGAGGCAAAATCACTCCCTAGATAGAGAATAGAGAACCATGCTCTCTTCCACATGGGAACCTTAGAGAAGATGGAAAATCCAGATTAGGTCTCTGCTAGGATTCAGTTGTCAAGATCAGTCTCTTTAACTCTATTTAAAAACACTGTAAGAATTCAGAATTACAAGGAGACATCAAGTAAAAATGTGATTCTCCAGTGGTCTGAAGATTCTTCATTAAAATCCCCTGGGAGGGAGCAGTACTTCTGCTTGGGGGCTCCCATAAAATGTCTTTGCCATTGTTTTGGTTTTAATCCAATCCTTACAGGTAGCCAAATGACCCCTGTGGCCATTTCTAAAAACCAAGATCAAAAGCCTGACACTGAGACTTGATTTAAATCTTTCCTTGAGGGCGCCTGGGTGGCTCAGTTGGTTGAGCTACTGCCTTCGGCTCAGGTCATGATCCTGGAGTCCCGAGATCGAGTCCCGCGTCGGGCTCCCAGCTCAGCGGGGAGTCTGCTTCTCCCTCTGACCCTCTTCCCTCTCGTGCTTTCTATCTCTCATTCTCTCTCAAATAAATAAATAAAATCTTTAAAAAAAAAATAATAAATCTTCCCTTGAAGTCTGAGAGCCAAGGCAGGCAGGTAACATAGGTAAGCAAAGAGATGTAGAATGTGACTGAAGACACGTGTCCATGGGTCTTTGTTTAGGTGTTGCACTAGGGCATACATACAAGGAAATGGGCTGAGAAGAGCCACAGTCAGTCTAGATGGTTCCAGATTACTTCCTACTATAAAAATCTTAACTATTTTTGTCTCAGTAAGAGAGAAACACCAAAATTTCCCCCAGGAGTCACAGTAAATAATTCTAGAAAGCTGAGTGCCAGAAGGAATCCTACAGGTAATTTGGGTATTGATGCTAAATGCTTCCAATGTACTCTTCCTATCCCCAAAATCACTCCTGTCACTGAGCTTTTCTGATAGATCTATACCTATTAGGGGTCCAGCTGGAACTTTATTTTTTAGAGTCCTTAGCAACATTCTAGTATATAGAAAGAAGAAATTTTTTTTTGAAGAAAATTTTAAATCAAAATTGTTAAATAAGCAATAAAATCATTGTGTATAGATTACCTAAAATTAATTTCACCAGGCCTCATTTAAGCATGTAAAACAAATGGCTTTCATTCATTTTCAATAATTTATCAACTGCTTCAAATGGAAGATTTTTTTTTAAAAAATATTTTATTTATTTATTTGACAGCAACAGCGAGGGCAGGAACACAAGCAGGGGGAGTGGGAGAGGGAGAAGCAGGCTTCCCGCAGAGCAGGGAGCCCAGTGCGGGGCTCAATCCCAGGACCCTGGGACCATGACCTGAGCTGAAGGCAGACGCTTAACGACTGAGCCACCAGGTGCCCGCTCAAATGGAAGAGATTTCTATTACACTTTTTCTGTTCTTTTTAAAGCCAGAATTATTTCAAATATTTCAATTATACTTAATACCTCCCCTATGGGAAAGGGTTATTTTCATCTTCCTTTACTGAGGCACTAAGAGAGGAGATGTCTTGCTCTCTGCTCCTAATGATGAAGTTGTTACTTTAAGCACCTTATAACAATGTGATCTGAGGAGTGGGTGGGGTTATGAAACGAGATCAGTTTATCGTTATCAATTACTGAAGCTGGGTACATGGGGGTAAAGAATTTCAAGCCATATTCATTTTTTGGAAACAAGTTTGGATCATCTCATATCTTCTATATGATCTCAGTTTGAAGTAGCCTTTCTTTTTAAGATTTATTTGAGACTGAGCAAGAGAACGTGTGAGCAGTGGGAGGAGAAGAAGGAAAGGGAGAGAATCTCAGGCAGACTCCACACTGAGTGCAGAGCCCGACTTGGGGCTCGATCTTAGGATACCAAGATCATGACCGGAGCTGAAACCAAGAGTCAGGTGCTTAACCCACTGAGCCACCCAGGCACGCAGGAAAGCTCCTTTCTCACAGCAGTGCTAGTGTGCAGGCATTAGGAAACCATGCAATAAAGGAAACCTATTTTGGGCACCTATTAATATTACTGTTGCTTAAATTAACACATTGAACGGTAACTATGTGTGCTAAGCCCTTCATAACATACTATCCTCATTGATTGCACATAACTATTGTATGGGTAGATGCTAATATTATCCCCTGTCAGATAAAACTGAAGCCCAAATCTTTTGTCCAAGACTGCCCAGTTATTTCATGGCAGAAGCAGATAGTCTTGACTACAGGGCCCACTCTTACAACCACTTTGTGAGGTCTCTCTCCTATTTAAATGAGATAGGTACACAGAGGGCCTCACCCTGACACCCAGGAAGAGTTCCTCCTTTCATTCACAAATATTTATTGTGCATCTACTAGGTACCAAGTACTGTCTGGGCAGTAGATACAGTGGAGAAATAGATAGGGTTTCTTGTTTTCATGGAACTTAAATGATAGCTCACTTTTCCTTCCCAGTGAATTTCATAAAATGCCATGGATACTAAAGATTCCTCAACAGTAATAAAAAAACAGGTTTCCCTCAAATAGTTTGTTAATCTTGGAGACAGCTTCTGGCAGACCAAAGAGAAGGATGTAAGACAGGACCAGGCAGGAAAGCAGCCAGAGGAAAGGATGGAAATGACAGCGTCTTCACCTCTGGTAGGAACCCTATGTGACCCCGGGTAAGAGATGGGGCACGGGGGTGGGGGAACCCCGGCAGATACCAAGGTCACCCCAGAAAGAGCCCTGACCATATAGTCAGAAGGGCTAGCTTTACTGCCAATTCCCAATAAGCCCTTTTAAAATTCCTGCCTTTCTCTGGGTTTATTTTATCCTTCTGTAACATGTCATGTCTGGGTTGATGTCTTCTGGACCTACATAGCTCTAAGTGCCTCTGCCTTGACAAGTAACATGTATTCTATCCCTTACGATTAGGGCTGAGGCCAGCAGGGAGAAAACCCTGAGCCCTCCACTCCAAAGAAATATTTCATTTCCTACTAGCCATTTAAAAGTCAATGATGGGTGCGCCTCGGTGGCTCAGGCGTTAAGCGTCTGCCTTCGGCTCGGGTCATGGTCCCAGGGTCCTGGTATCGAGCCCCACATCGGGCTCCCTGCTCTGCAGGAAGCCTGCTTCTCCCTCTCCCACTCCCCCTGCTTGTGTTCCCTCTCTTGCTGTGTCTCTGTAAAATAAATAAAATCTTTAAATAAATAAGTTCCTTCTCATCAAAACATTTAAAAAAAACGAAACAAAACCGGGTCACCTGGGTGGCTCAGTTGGTTAAGTGACTGCCTTCGGCTCAGGTCATGATCCTGGAGTTCCAGGATCAAGTCCCGCATCAGGCTTCCTGCTCAGCAGGAAGTCTGCTTCTCCCTCTTACCCTCCCCCCTCTCATGTGCTCTCTCTCTCTCAAATAAAAATCTTTTAAAAAAATAAAAAAATAAGTCACTGATGGGGGCGCCTGGGTGGCTTAGTTGGTTAAGCATCTGCCTTCGGCTCAGGTCATGATCCCAGGGTCCTGGGATGGAGTCCAGCGTCAGGCTCCCTGCTCAGCGGGGAGCCTGCTTCTCCCTCTCCCTCTGCCTGCCGCTCCCCCGCTTATGTGCGCGCGCGTTCTCCCTCTCTGTCAAATAAATAAACAAAATCTTTAAAAAATAAAAGTCACTGATGGAATTGTTTCCTGAACCAGGGAACGTGTCCCCTTCCTCTTGTCACATTCACACTTGTAAAATGGCAAGGCCTACCAAGTCACATTCTTCAAATGACCAACTGCACATTCCCATGGTACTAGGATCACTGCCTCGAGAACAGACTTCTGGATCTCAAAATCAGGTCTCTATGTGTTTGAAACACACACACATACACATACATACACACACACACACACACACACACACACAACCTAATACCTGGGAGCGACTCACCGGTCAGCGTAACGCAAGGTATTCAAAGTGTGTTCGGTGGCCACATGGCTTGGTGAGATGTTGGCAATCATGCAGGTTTTGGCATCACCAATGAAAGAATCCCTCAGGACCTGTCCAAACAGAAGGCAGCTCAATGAAGTCAATTAACAAAGGGCATATTGACTACTTACTGTGTGCAGGACACTGGGCCATAGCTCCCCTCTCCGCTACAGAAAGGCAATTTACAAAGAAGAAATACAAATGAACAAAACACACAAAAAAGGTACTTCACCAAAGAAATTCAAACTAGTAAGAATACTAATATTTTTCACCCATAAGATTAATTAAGACTCATGACACCCTGCCGTGGTGAGAGTCTAGGGAAATGGGCACTTTTCTACATTGCTATACTATTTATGTACTGTGTACCATCAAACGGTATAAGCTTTTGAGAAGGCAGTTTGGCAATATGTATAAAAATATAAAAAATGTGCATGCTTCCATGACATATTCCTAAAGAGAACTGCTCAGTTGATAAAAAAAAAAAAGTGCACATAGGATATGCATTACATTATAATAATTAGAAAATCTAGGAGTCCGTAAACAGGGAACAAACTGAGTAATTTTGTTTTTTTAGATTTTATTTATTTGATAGAGAGCACAAGCACAGGGAGCAGCAGCAGGAGAGGGAGAAGCAGGCTTTCTGCTGAGCAGGGAGCCCAACATGGGGCTCGATCCCAGGACCCTGGGATCATGACCTGAGCCACCCAGGTGCCCTGCAAACTAAATAACTATTAACTGACTACAATACAACCATTAAAAATAATTATGTATATCTGTACTTAGGTACACGGGAAGATCTAAAACTTATCTTTGAGTGAAAAAGGCATATGACTTCGTAACTCTGTAAGTAGATCTATGTGGGCAAAGAAATATCTGGAAGGATAGTTACCAAAATGTAGCAGTGATTATCACTAAGGTGGGATTTTTCAGGTACCTTTTGCCATCTTCTTTGTACTTGTATATACATATACTGTTTGAATTACTATTATCACTATTATTACTTTTAAAAGATTTTATTTTTAAACAATTTCTATACCTAACATGGGGCTTGAACCCACAACCCCGAGATCAAGAGTTGCACACTCCACCAACTGAGCCAGCCAGGTGCCCCTGAATTTTTTTTTTTTTTTTTTTTTTAAAATTTTTTTTTTTTTTTTTTTTTTTTTTAAGACAGAGAGACACAGCGAGAGAGGGAACACAAGCAGGGGGAGTGGGAGACGGAGAAGGAGGCTTCCTGCTGAGCAAGGAGTCCAACGCGGGGCTCAATCCCAGGACCATGGGATCATGACCCAAGCCGAAGGCAGACGCTTAACAACTGAGCCACCCAGGCGCCCCGTGAATTATTATTTTTTAAATTAAATAGGAAGACATTTTCTGGGGATGGTGAACTTGTTTTAAAAAATAACAGAGCCAATGTCAGAATCTGGACTAACCACCCATAAGAAGGGTTTCCTAAGTCTCTAGTTGAAATCATGTTTGAGAAGATATAATCTAACCCATAGATCACCCGTTCTTTTTTTTTTTTTTTAAAGATTTTTATTTATTTGACAGAGAGAGATAGCGAGAGCAGGAACACAAGCAGGGAGAGGAGAGGGAGAAGCAGGCTTCCCGCTGAGCAGGGAGCCCAATGTGGGACTCGATCCCAGGACCCTGGGATCATGACCTGAGCTGAAGGCAGACGCCTAACGACTGAGCCACCCAGGCGCCCTAGATCACCCGTTCTAATAAGGAGTTACAGGTTCTGCCCCAGGCCCTGTGGAGCCGTTAGGTTAGCTGCACAGAGAACCTCTGCCAACATACAAAGACCCTCACACCTAGACTGCCGTCTATGCTAGTCTGTCCTCCACTGAGCACAGGATGTGGTGCAGAAAGGAATCGGGGGCACCCATATCTGCCTTCACAGCAGTCTGTATGTAGGGAGACCCCTCCGTGGGCCACTGTTCTGCAGCCAGTACAATGCTGAATTAGTGGTACTTTCCATTAATTAAGAAGCACATTGTCATGACAGAAAAATGGGAGGAAAAAAATTACAGTTTTACCACTCAGAATAATCAGTTAACATAGACATAATTTTTTTTTGTGTGTAGTTTTTTCCCCTCATTTTATATTTTTAAACTATACATCCTGGTCATCTTTCCTATCAGTACATATCAAAAATCTATCTCGTTCGGAGTACCTGGCTGATTCAGTCGGTAGAGCACATGACTCTTGATCTCAGGGTTGTAAGTTCGAACCCCATGTTGGCTGTAGAGATTACTTAAAAATAACATCTTTAAAAAATAAGCAAAAAGTAAATTTAAAAAAACTTTAAAAAATCTTACTTTTTTTAACTCCAGGGGTTATTTTTTGTCTTCAAACACTAAGTTAGAGCTAAGAAAATACTTAGTATAGCTATACCACCCCCACTTCAAAGGCTCAGAGACTCCATTAAATCAAAAACTTTTCTTTATATTAGAAATAAGCAGAAAGCTGTTGGGTGGTGACCAGAAGTACACTGCTGCCCTGTGAAAGCTCAGCTGCTTCATACTGCAGGCATCTCTGCCCGAGGATGCCCATCGCTGCCTAGAATGACCTGCAAGGAATGTGACTCCTTCCTCCTCCCCCCTCCCCAAGCTTAGCATCATGCCTTGGTGGCAGTGGAGGCTTTGCTGAATGAACAAATGAATGAAACAGAACAAACTCAAAGTTCACATTTAACATTACCTGAGTTAATTTGCTTTGCCTGAAGGGAGTGTGGGTGTGTTCCTGATCCAATGCGCGGATACATTCCTTCAGCTGCAAAGTGGTAGATTAACAACAAGCACATCAAATATCACATGCAAAGAGAAAGTAACAGATCAGACTTTTCTTAAATAAGCCATACTCAGACAATCCTCCAAAAGGAAGTCAAAATGCCCTGGTAGTTTCTTGTCCAATAGGAAAAATCAAGCTAGACGAGTAAACATCCTGAGTGAGCTCCCTGTGTCTGGTTAAGGGCCTCCCATGCTAAAGGCTATAATCCTAGGATTAGCCCCAACAGTGGGGAACAGACAAACCAGGGACCTTCCCACAGGGCCCCTAGAGTCCAAGCTTATGTGGTGGCAGTTCTGGCTTGCCAGCTCCCTTTTTCTTGCCTCCTCTCATACTATTAGTAGCTATAGATGCACTTAAGTACAGAAAATCTCTATACCGCTCCCCCACCTCCCTGCTCACATATGCACACCTATAGGTGTAGATTCAAGTGTAGATTCAGATAGAAGTTTCTGATAATTATTTTGAGAGAGAGCGAGAGTGTGCACTAACTTAAAGAAATCCAAAGAGGGGCGCCTGGGTGGCTCAGATGGTTAAGCGTCTGCCTTCGGCTCAGGTCATGATCCCGGGGTCCTGGGATCAAGTCCTCATCGGGCTCCCTGCTTCTCCCTCTGACCCTCTTCCCTCTTGTGCTATGTCTCATTCTCTCTCAAATAAATAAAATCTTTAATAAAAAAAAAAGTAAACTCTATGTCCAATGTGGGGCTCGAACTCATGACCCCAAGATCAAGAGTTGCATGTTCCACTGATTAGGCCAGCCAGGCGCCCACCTGTGCTTTATCTGCATTTATTTTCTCCATCCATTACCAAGCTGTGTCCTAAGGTATCAGAAAAGCCTAAGAGGTTATTTTTGGGGTCTGGGAATATTCACATTTGTTTCCATATAAATTAATGGTAATCACTTCTTTGCCTTATGCCATTTTGGCTTACAAAAAATTTCATAGGTAAAGTTCTATTTTCAGATAGGGGGAGAAATCTGTATAAGGGAATTTCCTCTTTCATTACAAATCAATGCAATATCCCCAAACTTTACCACTGGGACAATTCTCCAAAAGGGACATATAGGTAACCAAATCCTGGCTCTGAGTTACACCTGCCCCTTACATACTCAAATCCAAGTGTGGCCACTGATCCTATGAGCCTTTGAGGACAATCTGAGCAATAAAATAAATAATGATAAAAATGTATTATAATCTAGCAAATAAAATATCCATTTACTGTTATAAATAATCTAATAAATTAATTAATTGTAGGGAAAGGACAGCTCTGTCTTACAGCAGAATCCCAACTAATTAATGTAAAAAGAATGATAGGAACAGGAAATCCCACGAGGTAAACACCACAGTAATTGCTGCAGGTTAAGAATCATCAATGGATGCTAAAATAAGGCAATAAAAGTGTGATGTAAATAGGATATCTGCATAGTTTCAAACTATCTCCCCATATTTATTTATGAGAGAGAGAGCGCGCGCGGATGCAGAGCAAGAGAGAAGGAGCATGAGCAGGGGTGGGGCAGAGGGAGAAGCAGACTCCCTGATGAGCAGGGAGCCCCACGCAGGGCATGATCCCAGGATGTGGGGATCATGACCTGAGCCAAAGGCAGACGCCCAAACCAGGTGCCCCAAGATATTTATTAATTATAAAGGGAAAATGGTTAACATTACAGTGGAGAAACCTAGCACAAACCACCTTAACTAAGTGATCAAAGTTAACATCACCAGTAATAAGACATACTGACTTCATGCACCACCTTATATGATTCACTGAGAAGGGTACAACTTATGTGGTGTTCTTGCTAAAAATTGTTTACCGCAATCTAATCGTGAGAAAACATGGGATAAACCCAAATTCACAGATAATCTGCAAAAACAAAACACAAAACAAAACAAAAACAGGCAGGCAAGCACTCTTCAAAGGTGTTAAAGTCACAGATGACAAAAACTGAGGAGACTACGAGCACATGACAACTAAATGTAATATAGGATCCTGGACCCTACTAAAAAGGACATTAGCGGGATTATTGGTGAAATTCACACAAGGTCTGTAGAATAGTTAATAGTATTGCCAATGTTGTTATTGTTGTTTTGGTATTATACCAATGTTAATTACCTGATTTAGATCATTTTATTATGGTTATACAAGATATTAATAATATGGAAGCTGGGTGAAGGAATGCTGTGTATTTATTTTTGCAACTTTTGTAAAATCTAAAAGTATTCAAAAATTGAAAAAGTAAAAAGATGCTGATTGTCTTTATCACCTCTCTCAGCCTCGCAATTTATCCCTCATGAGGCCTGGAAATAAAGTGCCTAGCTGGAGACTTCAGTTCTGATCAAAAGGACTTAATATGGAGGGGCGCCGGCAGCACGATGTAGCCGCAAAAAGGAACAAGGAAGACCTCTATATACAGCTATGTAGTGAGCTCTAGGGTATTGTTAAGTGAAAAAAGCAAAGTGTTTACAGTATGCTACCCTTTTTTTTCTGAGGTGAATACAAATATATATATATATTTGTATATATATATAATGCTTATCTAAGGGGAGGGAGGTAATAGGGTTGAGGGGACAGGGATGGACACGATTTCTTTCAATGTTCTACAGTTTTTACTTTAACTGAATGTGAAATTGGTAAGCTTAAACACATAGAAAAGATTTCAAGTGACTATGCAACACAATATTATGACTGTACACCTAAGTGGGATACAACCTAAGGGTGAAAAGGAAACTGCAAAGAAATAGCAATCTGAATTCAGTAATCGTATTATGAAAAATATCAGCATTATTTTGAAATACACATATATTGAAGTAGAGCAAATTATATAAATGTTGTTAGGAACTAAGAATTCTAGCATAAGAGAAGGGAGACAAAAATATAAATTCAAAAAAGTTAACCAAAAACCCTGTAATCTTAATTTTGAATTAACTTATTATTATGAGTCCCTAATGTATTTTCCTCTTGCAAAAAAAAAAAAAAATCTATTGCCTAGCTCTGTCCAACAAAAAGGCCTAGAAGCAAGGACTAACCCAGTGGTAGTAAGCACCCCCAGCACCCTAAATGGTCTCTAAATGCCATTTCTTTCTAAAACCAAGGCTTGTTGAAGAATTGACTGGTTCAAGGTCTGGGGAAGGAAATGTACAAGATGAGCCTAGAAAATCTTGTCAGACCAAAACGCCAGGAAGCTATTAGAGACTAATAGTTGGTCAAAAAACCAGAGGAACATACTTGAAAAGGCTCCCACTGCCCAAAGATGTACAATTTAAATAGCAAAAAGAATAATAATTACAATGAGTTTATAATAATACAAAGCCAAACAAAACAGTCAATAACAACAAATTCATTGGTCATGTTTAGGTTACTAGGACACCAAATCATTCTGAAAACTGTTGAGTAAAGGCAAAGAATCAAGCAAGCATTTAACTTGTTTCTACTGTATGAACTATATTTCAGGATAATCAGATAATTGAGGAAAAATTCTTCCCAGCTAATAAAGAAGGAATGTTAGAATGAGAATATCACCATTTTGGAATCCCTAATGAAACAGATACATGTGATGCTCATCAATGGCTGGTAAACAAACCCATTAAATGAAAAAGTCTGATAGGAAACTCTAACAGAGGAATTACACAGACAACACTTGAATCTTTCTTAATTTTTTTTTTTAAAGATTTTATTTATTTATTTGAGAGAGAGAGAATGAGAGACAGAGAGCACGAGAGGGAAGAGGGTCAGAGGGAGAAGCAGACTCCCCACTGAGCAGGGAGCCCAATGTGGGACTCGATCCCGGGACTCCAGGATCATGACCTGAGCCGAAGGCAGTCGCTTAACCAACTGAACCACGCAGGTGCCCCTGAATCCTTCTTAATTCTTAAAAGTCACAGAGACAACGAACCAGACATTCTGTACCTCCTGATGTGTTCCTATATATAGGAAGTCTAAAAACTACCCATGAATTCTTGCCAAAAAAACCAGAACCTCAATCTGATCAAGCTTCTAGAACAGTGCTTTCCCAATAGGAGTATGATAGCTACAATTGCAAACCATATGTGGAATTTTAAATTTCTAGTAGCCACATTAAAAAAAAAACAAATGAAATCAATTTTTTTTTTAAGATTTTATTTGAGAGTGAGCTAGAGAAAAGCATGAGTGGGGGGACAAGAGGAAGAAGCAGACTCCCCTCTGAGCAGGGAATCCAATGTGGGCTTGATCCCAGGACCCTGAGGTCATGGCCTGAGCCAGCCAGGTGCCCTGAAATTAATCTTAATTATATGTTATAGAATCCAATATATCAAAAAATATTTAAAAACCCAGCAAAAATATTATTTCAGCATGTAACCAGTATGAAAAAATATTGAGATATTTTACCCGTTTCAAGATCCAGTGTGTATCTTACACTTAGAGCATATTTCAATTCAGATGAGCTACATTTGAAGTGTTCAGTAGCCACATGTGGCTTACAGGCCCCCTCCTGTACAACACAAGTACAGATCTTAGCCACTTTATAGAGAACACAGAGGATAGAGTATGATGTTAAACGTCAACATGGGGATGCAGTCAACCTAATCCAGAATGTTGGAAATCTTATAGGACAAGTGACCCAGTTTTGTTCAACAAATACACTGATAGTAAGAGAGAGAAAAGAAGAACTGATATGGAATAAAAGAGACTATCAAAAGTAATCCAAGGGTACCGTTTGCATCTTGATTTGAACAAATTGTGAAAAGTCATTTATGGGACAACTGGAGAAATGATAGTACTTCCTGGATAATAGATATCATTACATACTTATTGGGCGCCTGCGTGGCTCAGTTGTTAAGCGTCTGCCTTCGGCTCAGGTCATGGGATCGAGTCCCGCGTCAGGCTCCCAGCTTAGCGGGAAGCCTGTTTCTCCCTCTCCCACTCCCCCTGCCTGTGTTCCTGCTCTCGCTATCTCTCTCTGTCAAATAAATAAAACCTTAAAAAAATTAAATAATTATTTCTTCAGGTATGATAATGGCATTACAGTTATATTAAAAAATAAGAGTCCTTATCTCTTCGAGATAATATTTGTGGAAGAAATGACAGTCTGACAGGATTTGCTTTACTATAATCCAACCAGGGGAAGGAAAGGGTTGGTTAGATTTTTCACATGTTGAAGCTGGGTGCAAGAATTTGGGATATCATTATACGATTTATCTATTTTTTTATGTTTGAAAAATTAATATAATTAAAAACTTGGTGAGAGAGAGAAAGCTTCCCTAAATTAACCATTCAGCAGCTGCAGAAATACTTTTCTGCCCCTAAGGGATTGACCAGAGGAAGAGAAGACAGGGACAGAAGGGAAGAGTTGCCTAGAACTGCTAAGAATCTGATCAGGCAGCCTCCATCTCCAACCCTGGAATCCCACTGCCAGACAGGAGCGTGCCCTTACTCTGCTGATTCTAACCCACCCCACCCTCACCCACTCTGGCTGCATGTAAAGAGGGGCAAAATCTACCAAGAAGGATTTTTATTTTTTTATTATTTTTTAAAGATTTTATTTATTTGACAGAGAGAGACACAGCGAGAGAGGGAACACAAGCAGGGGGAGTGGGAGAGGGAGAAGCAGGCGGGACTCGATCCCAGGACCCTGGGATCACGACCTGAGCCGAAGGCAGACGCTTAACACCTGAGCCACCCAGGCGCCCCTCAAGAAGGATTTTTAGATCAAAGCTTTCAAACTTACAGCCAGAAGACTCTGGTTTATTTCTGCGCCTTCCATCTTTGTCTGTCTGTCTGAGTCTCTGGCGTCTGCGGCTCTTTCACTGCCAGCCAAGTCAATAAAAGAGATCCTAGAGAAGACACACAGCAGGGATAACTTCTTGGGGACTCTGCTTTATTTTTACATCAGTCAGCAATTTGGGGCAGCAGGAAGAAATTAACACTGGCCCATCCTCTGGAAAGAAAAGACATACTGGCAGCTTTCCAAAAGTATTAAAAGATTCTGATCTGTTAGCCATTGCGGGCGCTGTTCACTCAGACACTTCCTTTGGTTTTAATCATTTGTGAGAAATTAATAAAATTAATAAAACATTCTTCCCATAAAGCTAAATGACTACAATGTAAATCACTTAGGTCACCAGTTAGGTAATTTTTTTTTTTTTTTTTTACCACTTAGGTAATTAAACTTTTGTGGGCTGCTTTCCAGCCAAAAAAGAAAAAGAAAAAAAGAAAGTTAAAAAAAAAAAGACTCATTACTCAGAGGTGAGACAGGCTCATCCATCAGTGTGGCAGAGTTTGCTAAGATAGCACCAGAGAAGCAATGAATGTACCCAATTGTCTTATGGCTTCTTTCAAGAAGGATAGATTAATTTTCTGGTTTTTTTTTTTTTGGCCTGTAAGCTGAGATGCATTTCCTACTATTTCTTTGCTGATACTGTGTTTCACGTTAGAAGCAATCAATGTCCCTTTTAATAACTTAGGCTTGACCAACAATAGGTCATTACTTCATGGTTAATCAACTGATGGCACTTTAATACAATGATTTATTTCAGGGCTAACAACTCTACTCTGTATCCCTGGTATTTATTAAAAACTCCATGGTGGCAGAGTGTCCTGTTGTTGATAACACATATTTCAAAGTCACATTAGGGAAAGGCAGACAATGCAATTCCTTGTGTATTTCCAGCTCACCTGCCAAATGTCCTCTTTGCTGAATCTTTGATCTGAATTTGGATGATAGCATGGGAGCGGGAGGAGTCTGTGTTAACTCCAGTGGCCCCGGTGCTGCGCTCCTTGCTGCCCTTCAGAATCACCTGAAAATAAAATCCATAGGGTGATTTCCCCCAGAAGTAAAAAATCCCCCTGGTTCCTAAGGGTTGGCTGAGAGCAATAGAGACCAGGCATATAACTTTGTCAGTATACTGCAGTATTTTCAGAAAGCTGCCTAAACATTAAATCATACAGAGTAAGTACCCAACAGCAATGCAAACAATGTGGAATACTAACCTTGGGGGAGAACATTCAACAGCTCAAGAGCTAATTTACTTCTTGATCTTATATATTCTTTTTAGTATCTTTGATAGATTTAGCCTGACTATAGTCTCCAGGGCATGACTTGTCTCCAAGGCAATGTCCCACAGTACCCATCTATCTTAGTGACAAAGGACAGAAATGTGCATCATGGAATGACTGATTACAACCACCTGTTCCATCAAGAGGCAGTCATAAAGGAGGCCCCGGCCTGATGTGTGGGAACATGGAAGTAACAAGCTATCACAATTGACACGAGCCCATGATTTCCCTTGAAACCAAGTGCCCCTCAAAATACGAGTAAAGACTAACTTGGGTCCCTGTAGCCCACAGGGAGAGGGGGAATAGAGGTGAAGTCTCAGGACTGGACTCTTGCCACTGAAAACACAGCCATAAATGAACATGCTGCCCTGATTTTAGATAGAGGGAGGAGTGTTGATTACTGAGAATCAAAAAGGTGAAGAAATATTATTTGACAGAGGGGTGCCTGGCTGGCTCAGTCAGTGGAGTGTGCGACTCTTGATTTTGGGGTTGTGGGTTTGAGCTCCATGTTGGGTGCAGAGATGACTTAAAAATAAAAAAATCTTTATTAAATAAAACATTGATAGAATCTTCACAACACTCTAGATATGAGGTGAGTTCATTATATTATGCCCAGTATATGTTGAAGAATAAAGAGGCTGAGTTGCGGGGCACCTGGGTGGCTCAGTTGGTTGAGCGCCCGACTCCTGGTTTCAGCTCAGGTCATGACCTCAGGGTGGTGGGATTGAGCCCTGGGTGGGGTTCTGCACTCAGCCAAGAGTCCACTTGAGATTCTCTGTCCCTCCCCCTGCTCACACTGTCTGTCCCTATATAAATACATAAAATCTTTTAAATTTTATGTTATGTTAGTCACCATAAATTACATCATTGGTTTTTGATGTAGTGTTCCATGATTCATTGTTTGCGTATAACACCCAGTGTTCCATTCAATACCCTCCTTAATACCCATCACCCGGCTAACCCATCCCCCCACCCCCTTCCCCTCTAAAACCCTCAGTTTGTTTCTGAGTCCATAGTCTCTCATGGTTCGTCTCCCCTTAAATAAATAAAATCTTAAGAAAAAAAAAAGAGGTTGATTTGCTCACAAACAGCTGTTGTGTGACAGAACCAAATTCCATATCTAGTATGTCTGACTCCAAAGCTCATGTGGTTTCCACTATGCTGTCAGGTGCTTATGATAAATTCATTTATTTTTCAGTGAATTAAGGGTAAGGGAGTCCTAACTCATTTTTTCTCAATCTTTCAAAATTTTAATTTATATTATATTGAACACAGCCACAGTTTCCAAATTAAGAGTCTGAAAGTTGCCAGAATCAAACTTCACCAATAGGCCATAAAATATCTTAACATGCAGGTACTTTTTAAAAGTTTAATATGGATGGAACTAGAGGGTATTATGCCAAGCGAAATAAGTCAGTCAGAGAAAGACAATTATCATATGATCTCACTGATATGTGGAATTTAAGAAACAAAACAGAGGATCATAGGGGAAGAGTGGAAAAAATAAAACAAGACGAAACCAGAAAGGGAGATAAACCATAAGAGACTCTTAAATGTAGGAAACAAACCAAGGGTTGCTGGAGGGATGGGACGGGGGAGGGAGATGTGGTAACTGGGTGATGGACATTAAGGAGGGCACATGATATAATGAACACTGGGTATTATATAGGACTGATGAATCACAGACCTGTACCTCTGAAACCAATAATATATGTTAATTAACTGAATTTAAATAAAATGTTTAAAAGATAAAAAATAAATTAAAAAAAAAGTTTAATAATAAGTTCCTTCCTGGTTTAAGCAGTTGTGTTTCTAAAGATTATCTGTATATGAGATTTAGAATTGTACTTTTTTTAAGATTTTATTTATTTATTTGACAGAGAGAGACACAGCAAGAAGGAACACAAGCAGGGGAATTGGGAGAGAGAGAAGCAGGCTTCCCGCTGAGCAGGGAGCCCGACGCGGGGCTCGATCCCAGGACCCTGGGATCATGACCTGAGCCGAATGCAGACGCTTAATGATTGAGCCACCCAGGCGCCCCTGTACTTTATTATTTATTTATTTTTTAAAGATTTTATTTATTTGACAGAGAGAGCACAAGCAGAAGGAGAGAGAGGGAGAAGCAGGCTCCCTGCTGAGCAAGGAGCCTGATGTGGGACTCGATCCCAGGACCCTGGGATCATGACCCGGGCCGAAGGCAGCCACTTAACCGACTGAGCCACCCAGGCATCCCTAGAATTGTACTTTAAAATCAAATTTAGATTATTTTAGATGCACTCATTTTGTAAATAATCTGCTAAAAGTATAACAGGTCTATCTGATGTGTTTTTTTTTAAGATTTTATTTATTTGACAGAGACACAGTGAGAGAGGGAACACAAGCAGAGGGAGTGGGAGAGGGAGAAGCAGTCTTCCCACCGAGCAGGGAGCCCGATGCGGGGCTCCATCCCAGGACCCTGGGATCATGACCTGAGCTGAAGGCAGACGCCTAACGACTGAGCCACCCAGGCGCCCCTGGTGAATTTTTTTATCAAGAGAAGAACCTGTTAATTTATAACACTGGATTTTCAACTACATGGCTAGGATGTTACTGCTAATCGGAAATGAGAAGAGTGAGAGCAGTAGTCCCTTACCCTGGCTGTGGCAGGTGCCCCTGGACTGCACTGCTAACTAAGCTCCGCTGCTGGCGAGGCCATGAAAGGCGTATCTGTAACTGAAGCATCTAGTTCAACTGTGCTTCCTCATCCTGGCCTCTCCCCTGTCACTCTGACTTCATGCTGACATAGACTGTAATGCAATGATGACAATGTGTGATGTTCTTTTTATCAAACTTTTCTTTCCTTTTTCTATCAGAAAAGGAAGACATGCTTACTGTGGAAAACTTGGAAAATACAGGAAAAGTATCAAGAAGAAAATATATACCTCCCATAATCCCAGAGTTAACAAGATTCTGGTGTATTTCCTTCTAGTTTTAGGGTTCTCACACCTCTTTTGATTTGATTTTTGGTTTGTTTTTGGTCTTTTACAAGCCCTGCGAAAAGACAGGGGAGATCTGGAGATCTCTTAAATCTCTGTATTTGTGTAAACAATATGCTTAGTAAGGGAAGAAACACAGAGAAGTTGGTGACTTATCCAAGGTCACATAGGTCAAATATAGTCAGGCTAGGGAAGGAAGCCAGGTGTCCTCTGCCACATGTGAGAGTACTGATGCTGCTCCTGCTGGGACACAGGGAAAGCTCTGAGAGGCCTCACGGCCATACCTAGCCAGGAACTGTGGATACGGTCAGAAACTCATAGGCTTGTTTGTGGTTCACCCCCAGGGGAGCCAAGAAAGGCCGACTTCTGGGGTTCTATTATAGTTTTACACTCGGTTTTCCATGCTCCTTTGTCCACCTTATCCATCATGATGCATTAGGTGCCTGTGAGCATGTCTCAGAAAACCTAACGTGTTGAGGAGACCTTTCCTGACTCAATGCCTTTTAGGGAAGGCATGAAGGAGTTTCTGGTTCCGGTCATTTCCTCAGCTTCAGAAATAGCGTGCAATCGCCATTCCTTTCAGAAACTGAAATAAAGTAGCTGAACTCTGAGGAGTAAAAATGATTCAGTTTGGGGTGCCTGGGTGGCTCAGTTGGTTAAGCAATTGCCTTCGGCTCAGGTCATGGTCTCAGGGTCCTGGGATCGAGCCCCGCATCGGGCTCCCTGCTCGGCGGGAGGCCTGCTTCTCCCTTTCCCACTCCCACTGCTTGTGTTCCCTCTCTCACTGTCTCTCTCTCTGTCAGATAAATAAAAATAAAATCTTAAAAAAAAAATAAATAAATAAAAATGATTCAGTTTGTGAAGATCATCAGACAAACAGACTCAAGTGCAGTGGTTAAGATAGTGAAATCTGAAGTTAGACTGTCTGGGTATGCATGCCAGCTCTGACATATGGACCTTCTGCAATGAGCAAAAGTTTGCAAGTCACTTAACTTTTCAGAGCCTCAGTTTCTTATCTATAAAATGATAATCTCATAGTTTACTTACGAGAACTAAGAAAGATGATACAAGATAATACATGTAAAGCACTTAGAATCATGATTGGCACATGGTAAATTCTCAATATTCATTTAAAAAAAGATTTATTTATTTATTTTGGAGAGAGAGAGAGAGTGCGCGTGCCAGTGTGCGAGCGGGGGGAGGGGCAGAGAGAATCTCAAGCAGACTTCCCGCTGAGTGAGGAGCCCCCCACGGGGACTCGATCTCAAGACCCTGAGATCATGACCTGAGCCAAAATCAAGAGCCTGATGCTTAACCACCTGAACCCACCCAGGCGCCCCCCCCATAAATATTCATTTTAATAAAGAACATCTTTTTTTTTTTAAGATTTTTTTTTTATACACCCAATGTGGGGCTCGAATTCACAACCCCAAGATCAAGAGTCACACGCTAGGGACGCCTGGGTGGCTCAGTCTTTTAAGCATCTGCCTTCAGCTCAGGTCATGATCTCAGAGTCCTCGGAGCAAGGCCCGCATCGGGCTCCCTGCTCAGCAGGGAGCCTGCTTCTCCCTCTGCTTGTGCTCTCTCTGATAAATAAATAAATAAAATCTTTAAAAAGATAAAAAAAAAAAAAAAAGTTGCACGCTGGACTGACTGAGTCAGCCAGGCACCTCAAGAACTAACATCTTTGTGTAAACTTCCAAAACTTTATTTCTTTTCACAAATGTAAAATAATCAGAGTTTCATGAGGGGAAACAGAGCTTTAG